CACAAAAACAACTAAGATACTGTATTGCTTATCATGTCATAACTTGTGTTGCAGTTGTTGTATCATTTTAATCAAACATTTGTTTTCCATGCAAACACCCATTCCTAAACTCAGAAGAAAAGTGTAGTGTCATCTGTGGGAAATGGGACTGGCAGCACCTATTATCGCATTGAAATCTGAACAGGAAATAAAGATTGTACTGAAGATTTGGTATATGTTCTCTCAGTTCTATACACTGACACATGGCTATGCCACTTTACATTGGAGCTGCCCTACATACAGACAGTGATATGAAGAGCTTTGACCTACTCTGTCTTGCTGTCAAATGTTCAGCATCACCAGGGGTGGAAAGTAACATGGTACATTTACTCAAGTATTGTACTTCTTACATACTTTTTTGACATATTTGTAATAAACTTGAGTATTGCTATTCATTACTACTTTATACTTCTACTCCACTACATTTCAGAGACAAATATCGTACTTTTTACCCCAGTACATTTATTTTAACATTCACAGTAACTCGTTTTGTACATTTAGAAACACATGATATGCTGATATGGTATAATGCAGTACTGTACTATTATCTCCATAGTGCTTCACATCTCTACATTTGTTGCACATTGACAAACTAAAATACTCCTACATGTATAAAAACAGGGTAAAATACTAACCATAATAATATAATACTGTGAAAATATCCATTCTGCAACGAGTACCTTTACTTTTGATATTTGGAGTACATTTAGCTTATAATTCTGCCGTACTTTATATAGTTCTGAAATGGGCCATTATGCAGAATGAGTACTTGTTGTACTTTAGGTACAATTTGAGGTTAATAAGTTGATAGTATTTGTAGTTTTACTGAAGTAAAGGATCTGAGTACTTCTCCAACCTCAGGTAATCTGAGTGAAATGGGACTGACAGCACCTATTATTATTATTATTATTATTATTATTATTATTATTATTATTATTATTATATTATCTTGAAAACATACATTTACTAAAGATTTGATATATGTTTCCTTAGTCCAATACACTGACACATGTCTATGCCTCTTTACATTTGAACTGCCCTACATACAGACTCTGGTAGGAAGAGCTTTGACCTCATCTGTCTTGCTGTCAAATGTTCAGCATCACCACTAGAGTGATGCAGAACACCTGAACATTTGTGCCCAATACTCACAATGGAAGCTAAATGCCTTGCGGTAGCCTTTGTCACCCCATAAACAGTGAATTCGCACTTAATCCTCACTTAATTACATGGTAAAACAGGCTATAAAATGGCTATACAATCACTTTACAGCACTTTATAATTATGTGAATATGATGACGTTTCATATGAAATAAGAATATGTTTTTATTTTTAGCTTTACTAAACTTAATAGGCTAACGTTTCACATGCTAAAGCTAGGATTTCGCTATGTCTAGCCCACAGCTTAATGTTCTCCCTTTAAGCTGCTTTGCCCTCATTCTCTAGCACCGGTGGCCTTAGGGAACACTTTCAGCAGAGAGTACAACAATGTTATTTAAATAAAATAACATATAGCAAACGCTTTGAGCACATATGACACTGACATACATACCTGTAGTTGCCCACGTTGTTTTCTTGCTTGAAGTTTTCAGCATTTTCCTCCTTGAAATTGACAGTAGGTGCGAGAAATGTAGGTACTGGTGATGCATTCAAATGCTTTCCGTAAACTCCGTTATAACAATATAGGATTCTTGGTCGGTTAGGAAAACGACCATGGGACACAACCAACCTGATATTTGTGTTTTTGTTTGTCTTCTGAAAAATAAATGTAGTGGTCATGTTTATGAAAGTCAAATATTGAGAGGAAAATTGAATTGTTATCATATTAAGAAAACAACTAACATGTATTACGATTCACGAAATATTTTCACCATCTTAATTTATACTGCTTACATACAATCCAACTTTGTATGTCAGCATATATGTGTAACATTTGTGCCATATTTCGCCTTCTGCAATCGTGTTTGGGTCGACAATTACATCAAATTGCGGTAAATATGTAGTAATTCCAATAGCACTTGAAGGTAGCACCAGGGTAAACCGTACAGCAGTGACCCCTCCTGGTCTTTTTTATGAACTGGATCACTGGTTGTGCAGGTAAATCATTTTAGTACATACTGTAGCCTAAAGAGGTAAATACTCCCAAATGTTGCTTTTAAGGACTCATCTTTGAACTCAAAACACAAACACATCTTCATTTTGTTAGATTTGTTTTGTCTTTTCTTAATCTCTGCCTTCCACTTTTATACATTTCATTTTTTATATATGATTACATTTTATCCCAAGCTTGTATATTACGGGATAAAATTGTCATGCAAGACAGCACACGTTTGTTCAGATATATCTGGTTCAAGGTAAGTCAAGTAAAATCAAGCCTTTGGGCCCACTCCATGGCCCAGGAAACTTACTGTGCAGGTTACACTCCATGCTGGCATAGTGATAAACAATGAGAATCTAGATCAGAACCCTTGTGTATTGTCGCTCATTGGGCCACCTGAATATGAAGTTGCTGCTTTTAAAACTCATTATCCATCTATTTTTAAAGAATATTTTGTGGTTTCTTCAACAATGATTAGGAGTAAGTCGATGTATGAATTAATCAAGCAAAAACATTGATTTGACTATATTAACAGAAACATTTGCATAAAAAGCTTTACTGTCTCTTATAATCTCTACATCTAAAGTAAAACCAAGAATGTTAAACACATCTCGGCTAGAAATAAACAAATACACTGAGTTTGTTACTGTTTCTTATTGAAATCCACTGAATGACTTTAATAATCACTTACTTCATAACTCATATTGATCAATTCTTAAACTATTTAAATGTTAGTCCATTAAGAGATATACAAGTGCAGTCATAAATAGAAAATATACAAACCTCTTTTGTAAAAGTAGTGATACCAGAAGCATTATTACCAACATATATTTTAAGTGCACTTCAGCCCATTTCATAATGACATATATTAATGATTACATTTTTTGTGTTCATCACTTTTATTCTGCAGCTGGCATAGGATGAGCTTATATGTTTTACTATATACAATATATAGCTTGGTAATTTCCCCAAGGGATCGAAAATGTGTATCTTAACCAATAATAATACATGATACGCGGCTGGATGAAATGTTATTAGATATCTGTCATTGTGAATAGGTTGCTAATTTATACCCCTGTAATTATGTTGTATGATGTCCTTTTTGTTTTCTGTTGTTTTTATGTGTAACCAATGTGCTGCAGGTCTCCCTTGAAAAAGAGATCGTTGATCTCAATGGGATTTTCACCTGGTTAAATAAAGGCTACAAACAAACAAACAATGATTTGTTGAATATATTTTGTCTGAATTGTTAAAGGGCCCATGCCATGCTTTTCCGGTTATTACCCGTCCCCTTGTGTGTTATGAAGGTTTTTATGCATGTAAACGGTCTGCAAATTCACAAACCCTCAAAGTACACCCTGTAGCGAGTAAAACTCTAACACAGAAAAGACCTGTCTATGCTGCCCCAAAACGCCTCGTTGGAGATTTCTCATTTTCCATTGTTTGCTTCCTGGGTTCTGTGACGTGTGAACACCCAAATCAACAACAAATGACCAGATTGGCCCAAATGGACCAATCCGCGGAGCACCTCACACACCAGGATCCCTTGGCTAACTAACAGGGAGTCCCCATTGACTTGCATAGAGCTCCCTGAACGCTGGTAATAGACGAGTTGGGATCGCTGAGAAATGCTCTCCGTAGAGCCATTCTCACAGCGTTATAAACCTTTTTCTTACTCAATATCAAGCCACACTTATTGTTTTTACTTCGGCTGTGAGTGTTTGTGTGTGCTCAGGATGAGTTTCGCTTGTTCTCGCTGTATCGCCGACCCGGAAACCTGTCCGCTCCTCGCAGCAGCTCGCAGCAGCAACGAGCAGCAACGAGCAGCAACGAGCAGCAACGAGCAGCAACGAGCCTCGCAACGTCCCGACCAATCAGAGCACACTGGGCTCACAGGGAGGGGGGGGCAGGAGCTCCAACAAGCCGTTTTGGACAGAGAGTGAATACCTGGTGAATACACATACTTTACAGAGATGCTGTATGAGAAACCAATGTGATTTTGGAAAATTGCACAATTTAAATCTATTCTAGTAGACCTCAACAATGGAAATATGATCAGTAGAAATGGCCATAACATGGGACCTTTAAAGTTATCAAATAAATATAATGGAGTAGAAGTTTAGAATAGATTAAAATACTTAAGTATCTTAACATTTAGGTTAAAGGTGGGGTAGGTAATTTTGGAGAAACCAGCTCGAGTGCGCTAGAATTTGAAAATACACAGCCGGAAAAAATCTGCCACTTCCTTACAGAGCCCCTCCTCCAACACACACAAACGCGCACATGACCAATGAGGGCACGAGATAAGTTTGTGCACAGATGGAAGGCTGACAGGCAGGTAGGCATTTTTTTATGGATTATTTGTCAAAGCACTTAAGATATTCATTGCTATCGGGATGTTAAGAGCATTCCATGGAATATAACAAAAAGTGTTTCTCAAACTTGTGTTTCTCAAACTTACCTACCCCACCTTGAAAGGTGGGGTAGGTAAGTTCGCCTACCTGGCCTACCTGGATGGCCTACCTGCCTGTCAGCCTTCCATGTGCACAAACTTATCTCGTGCCCTCATTGGTCATGTGCACGTTCGTGTGTGTTGGAGGAGGGGCTCTGTAAGGAAGTGGCAGATTTTTTCCGGCTGTGTATTTTCAAATTCTAGAGCACTCGAGCTGGTTTCTCCAAAATTACCTACCCTATACCTTTGAGTACAATGCCAGAGTAAATGTACCTAAAGTTACTGTCAACCACTTTATACAACACAAAATATAATTGTCCTTTGAAATAATTTACATAGTTTAAAACAAATAGTTTGCAAAGGAAATAGCTCCCATTGGAAGTTCCTCAGACTTCTTCTTATTGAAATAATTCACAGCCATGACTTTTTCCCTCTTCCTATCTTGGCTATATTGTGTAATTTAGACTTGCTGCGTTCCTTCTCATCTGGATTCCTCTTGGAAGTGCACTCCAGTGTGGAGTCTGTCTCGAAGGAGATGGTCGGCCCTTGGATTGGGGCCCCGCAGCTGCCCTTATCCCGGGACACTAAAGAAGTGGTCTGCAGGACGACCCTGCCCCGCAGAGAGTGTTTGAGCTCCAGCAACAGGGGGTTGTTGTTTGAGTATAAATCTGCCTGCTGTCCTGCATTCCTGTTGGAAACACAGCATGTGCAGCACGCCGAGAACAATACTCTGAAAATATAAATCCAGCCCAGGTAATGTAGCTCCACAATGTTCAAGATGAAGCAACCTAGACTGACGCTGAACATGAAGTTGAGGAAGATGGTCTTCTCTGTTGCTCGGGATACAAAGCAGTCAGTCCTGTTGGGACAGGGGTAGGTCTCGCAGCGGAAAAGGTGTGGAACTTCAAATCCAAACAGGTAATACTGTCCAATGAGGAAGATTATCTCCATGATGGAGCGCAGCAAAACATGTATGATGTAGATAAGTAGCACTTGGCTTGAGAGCTCTGTTGGGTCCTTTCCTACCTCTGGAATATCTTCTCCATGAAGGCTCTTCCCCTCACACTCCCCTCCCCTTAAACTCCAGTCCTCCTTGTTATAGGTTGCGTTATAGGGACTTTCAACTTCCATTGTCGCCTCTATATCTCCTCCTGTCTGTTTATCCCTCTCATAGGAAGGCGATGACCTTGGTACCACCTCCACCTTCTTATCATCCTCTAACTTTTCATTCTTGGTGATTTTCTGCAACACGTATACAATGTAGAAGATAGAAGGTGTGGAGACCAGGACAATCTGAAAGACCCAGAAGCGCAGGTGTGAGACGGGGGCAAAAGTGTCATAGCAGACGTTGTTGCACCCGGGCTGCAAGGTGTTGCAGGTGAACTTGGACTGCTCGTCGCTGTAGACTGCGTCCCCCACCAGAGCCACCAGAAGGATGCGGAAGATGAGCAGCATCGTCAGCCACATCTTGCCAATGACAGTGGAATGGTTTTGAACCTCCGTTAGGAAGCGGCCAAGAATGGACCAGTCTCCCATTTCTGTGGAAACACGATGGTTACAACAATATTATTTTTACCAACAGTATTTAGGAACTCACACAGGTCATCCAGGCCAACTGAATCGTGGCCTGGATGACCTAGCCACAATCTTCTTAGGTCACTTCATTTCTCAATAACGTAAAAATATGTGACCAGGCAAAGTGCTCGATCTTTTTTTAAAGAAGAGACATCACAGTGTAGAAATAGTGTTAAAGTCCTGCAGTGAACATTTTACTTAGGTAAAAAGTCAAAGAATGAAATACCAAAATAAAATTATGTTGTATAGAATGCTTTCTGGTCATCTGATAAATAGATTGTCAAAATGAAATAACCACATTCTTAAGCCAATGTATGTATACTCCTTTGTGAATTAATACTTGGCAAAAGAATGAACACAACACAATAGCATGAACACAAAAGTCTCAGGTAAAAGAAATGAATAACATTTTACTTCACTTTTCTTGCTATACTGACTTTACATGAATTCACACACATGAGTAATCAAATAAATAGCTTGATTTAACTGTAGTCATTTGTCAATGAAATCAACCTTAAAGTTATGTAAACGTGTAACGTAAAAACAAAACCCCAACTTCTAAAATCCCCCAAATTGGATCACATTCGATTTCTGTGACATTTGAGTTAGAATAGGCTCGATAACATCAATTTGAACAATGCCAAGCCCTAACTGAATCATAATGAAACTGAACTTCTAAGGAAGCAGGAAATGCCCTGCAGTAAATGTGACTCAATAGTCTTACCAAGGAAGCAGGTGCATAAAACCGGATGTGTTTGTACATTTATGGCTTTCCAAAATTATAAAGGTTCATATATTGAGCTCGAAATCAACTGTGGATGTATATGAATATCATAGAATACTGTGTTGTCACAATCTGGCATGACCTTCAGTGTTACTTCTTTCTCTTAATTTATTCAAAATGCTAAACCGTTTGTGTGTAGTGTTTAGGAGCAGATACAGTACTGCGTTTAAATTACAAGCAGTTTCTCACGTTTACATTCAAAGAGACACCATTTCCTTTAACAGAAATATGTCTTTTTAAATTCCCTTTGGTCTACACATCATTTCTCAAAGTATTCTACATAATCTGCTACTACAAAAAAGATTAACAAGCTCAAATGTAATCAAGTTCTTGGACATTCATTCTGTTCTGCTGTCCTGTAGGACCTTACCTGTGGAGAATCTGAGTTTCCCTTATCCAAAACTGGAAAAATATCAGAGGAAACAATCTGCATAACTATATTTTCGAGTGGAGCCCGTTGCTGGATGTTATCGTGTATTTTGAGCTGGGTGTGGGGAGAATGGGCTGACCACACATATTCCCTAACTCTAACTGAAACATTCGTTGCACTGTATGTGAATAAAGGCTTTCAATGTACAGTGGGACAAAGATGGAAATGCACAATGGGGGCACCTTTACTGAACAGCCATTCACAAACGAGCGTAGAGTTCAAAGAACCTGCTGGAAAGAGTGCACAATACTGATTCTAGCACCCAACTGTGTCCACTTTCATTATAGAGCTCAAATACAAGTATTGTTTCTCAATGGAAGTGAGAAGAATCAACATATACAAATGTTCATGTCACTTATGATTCAAGTTTTAAGAAATTTCAGCAACTCAAACTAAATATATACAACTTTTGATTGCTGTAGAAAGAAATACCACAAACCATTTTCATTACAGTAAATGTGTTTATTCATAGATTCAACACGAAGGGCCACTTTAACTTCATCAAGAAAAAATAAATGGAGACTTACAATTTAAAGAAAAGTGTGAAGTTCTTTAACAATACCTGGTTCTACATATGAGGGCTAAGTTGCAGGAGTGTTGTTTTTGAATTAGATTTCCATTCTGGTAGTTTGTTTTTGAGTTTATAAGAAGAATTGACCTCTTATTGAGGTAAAAACAAATGTGATATACTGTGATAACTGTGCTTTGTTTGCCCATATGATAGAGTGGTTCCGCCTGGTACAACTCCTTTTGTTGAATGATATATTATCCAAGAATGAATTGTGATAAACATTATTATTGTCATTTTAGTACCATTTTATGCCAAAGAGATAAGGCTATGCCAAAGCAAGTACACCCTTTTATAGAGCATTGCACTTCTAAACCTCAAGAATATTCTGATATTAGAACTGAAATATACTATACCATACTATAGACTGGTCATATATCATGAGTCGATGAAAATATAAGAATTTGGCATCATGTCAAAATGTTTTACAATAAGTTGATGACGTAATAATTGTGTATTCTTATACTTGTCTAAGTGCATTATATGTTCATTGTCTGATTATATTAAGCAATCTGAGCCCTGTTTTTGTTGCTGACACATTAGCTTAATATGAGAGATTGTTTTTTGTACAAAAATGTAAATTAGGAAACGACAATGGGAATTCTATTGTATCTACAATGTTGCCCAAGCCCGATTTGAATTAATGATCTTGAAATAACAAACAACGGAATGTGTCTTAGTAATCTAAGGCCAGCTATTGGTGCTTATGAAGGTCATCTGGCATTGCTATACTATTCTTGTAACCCCACGCTGTGTCATTTTCTTCTTGGCTGTCTCCAAGGTTGAAGGTGTCATTTGACCACAGACTCGGCCTCCACCATTCTTAACATTGTCTGACTTCATCATGCATGAAGTAAACAGAGATATATCATGTATTAATTGGTGTCCCACAGTAATGTATCACATGTTCTCTTCTATCAAAAGTCTAAATTAAAGTCCAATGTGTGAAACATCTTTGAGACTGCTGCAAAAACATACTAATGCAGCTATGATTCATTCCATTGTGATACAGTTTCCTGATTGAGTAATCATTAGTTATACAATTTGATGATGAATGACAGGCAATAGCGCAGTGAAGGACACATCTGCCTTTGGTTCAAAGAAGACTTGTGATTAACACATGTCTGATTCATTTGTTGAAAGAAAGCTGACAAGATATGGTTTGTAGAATAGTGAGACTCAGAAAGTGTCAAGTCTAATTTTCAGAGATAGAAGCTATGTCGATTTTTTGTATCTACTACGTCCACTTTCAGTTTGAAATATTCAGCAGCCTTGATATGTTGCCTAGGCAGAGCCAAAAATGCTGTGTGTCAATCAGCTGTGGGTGTAATAACTTACTCAGATCTTTTACTTGTATGCCACTGTGTTATGTTTTTTTTATACAAATAAAATAACTTAAATACATGTACAAAAGTAGTAGTAGTCATTTTGCACATCGTCCCATTAAATAATAATATATATTACATTATGGGACTTTAATATTCAATATTTTTGTACTATATATAGTGTGTTTGCAAAAAATAAAAATAGCATTTGGTGTGCTTGAACTATAACAACACATGAGTTGTCTGTTGACTATATGTTGTATTATCAGAGTGAATTGTACAATAACTAAGGAAACTAGAAAATGCAATTCCTGAAGAAATTGCTAGTGGGAATGCTTTATGCTGAAAAGCTGACGCTAAACTGCTATGCTGAAATGTAATGTGTAAGAAGAAAGTGAATAATTTAGATTGAAATGATACATGAACACTGGGGGCTTGAATGTGTGATGAGTGAAGAAAAGAAAGTAAAAAGGCTTGGAAAAGCAGCAGAATATTTGAACTGCAAACTTTTGAACTAACTTGATGGTGAATGATCTGTCGCCATGGCAACGACATTTGATGACACCCCATAACACGCTTAGATGCGTTGATGGCTGCATTGTTACCAAACCTGTGAAGTTTTGGGCCGTTTGGAACATTTTCACTGAAGTTATGAGAAAACCGTGTTTCATGGCGAGCATTGTGTTGCCATGGCAACAGCATTTGAAGAAACCCCATAATTGACGTAGAGCTGTTGAGGGCTGGACCGGTGATATACAAGCGAAGTTTGGGGGACGATCGGACCGTTTCCATTGGACTTACAGCGACATCGTGCTTCATGGCGAGTGGTATGTCGCCATGGCAACGGCATTTGATGACACCCCATAATACGCTTAGATGCATTGATGGCTGCATCGTTACCAAACCTGTGAAGTTTTGGGCCGTTTGAAGCATTTTCACTGAAGTTATGAGAAAACCGTGTTTCATGGCGAGCATTGTGTTGCCATGGCAACGGCATTTGAAGAAATCTCAAAACTGTCTCGTAGATGTCTTCATGGCTGGACTGTTAGCACACATGTGAATTTTGAGCACTTTTTGAACATTTTCATAGGAGTTAAAGGGGCATTGGGCATTGTGTTTTATGGCGAGGGATGCGTTTCCATGGAAACGGCATATGGTGAGATTTCAGATTTGGCGTAGAGCTGTTGAGGCATGGACCGGTGATATACAAGTGAAGATTGGGGGACGATTGGACCGTGTTACTTACAGCGACATCGTGTTTCATGGCGAGTGGTCTGTCGCCATGATGCGTTGATGGCTGCATCGTTACCAAACCTGTGAAGTTTTGGGCCGTTTGGAACATTGTGTGTGTGTGAGAGAGAGAGAGAGAGAGAGAGAGAGAGAGAGAGAGAGAGAGAGAGAGAGAGAGAGAGAGAGAGAGAGAGAGAGAGAGACTGTGTGTGTGAGAGAGAGAGAGAGAGAGAGAGAGAGTGTGTGTCTGTGTGTTTGTGAGAGAGAGAGAGAGAGAGAGAGAGAGAGAGAGAGAGAGAGAGAGTATGAAATGAACAGTTAGAACTGACTGCTGTCAGTTGGAGTGATGACATCATCGTGTTCCATTACACAGGTGTTTATAGTTGAGCTAACGAGCTCTGTAGAGATCAAAGGTTTGCATTATTCTGAATGAGAGATAAACCTCTTACATGTGAACGTTTTGTGGAAGAACCATAACAGATATCTGTGAAATTTCAAAACGTGAAGCATGTCAAGGAAGTTGAGTATCTGAAGTGTAATTTTTGTGTACTTTCGGGTTAATAATGTGGCCTTTTTGGCAGTTTAACTAAAGGTGTGCGGCTACTGCTGTGAGGAAATATCAGCCTGAAATTACAATGGGTTTTAATGGAGACATGTTGAAAGTTTTTGTCACTTCATGCCCTCAAGAGGCATTTTGTTTAAATATTTTTGCTTAATTATTTGTCATTTTTCAAGCTACGAGATGTTTTCCTACGTTTGTCATGAAAAATGATGTCTCAGGAATGTAGGGTTTGGGAATTATGGCAGTTTTTTTTTTAAATATGAAGGCAAATTTCAAGATTTCCTACCCTCTAGCTGTGACATCACGCACTCTAGTTAATGTTAAAATCTGAAGAAAGCCTCTTTGCCAAGGTCTGAACAATGTTTAATATCTCTAAAAGTAAGAATCAGATTTAAAAGTTGTGTTACACGAATAATGTCAGAAAGATGTGTAACATTTTAAAGTCTGAAGATTTTCTCCATTGACTTCAATGGTTAAAAATGTGATGAATTATGGGATGTATCTCTGGAATTATGAAAGTTATGAATGATAAAAGTAATAGCCATCGATTCCCGACTGAGCTGAACGTTTTGATGTTCGAACGGAGTTTCTGCGATGTTGAATGCAGGAGGAGAAGAGGTGCAAAGTTCCGGCGGAATAATAATAATTTTGTCCGTAGAATAACATATAGTGGGAATGCTGTATCAGCATTCCTAATATATATAAAATACATGTAGTGGAATAAAAAATACTCCAAATTGTAGTGAAGTAGCAGAGAATAGAATAGAATATAATTGGGAGGGATGAAACCCTCTTAGATGGTCACACATGCAGAGCACACAGCACACACAGTGAAATGTGTTCTCTGCATTTAACCCATCCTAGTACCAGGAGTCTAGTAGGAGCAGTGGGCTTTTGTTAATGTAGGCTTTCTAGTTACTGGACCCCAGTGTTGAGAATAATCAGAATAATTATTTATTTTATGTTTTGAACAGCTATATAGCAGCTTTTTATTCATTGCTATGATTTCAAAATCATATCATAGTGAAAATAATCATAATAAACACAGCCATACATTTAAAATAGTAGTTAATTCAGTGTAAATGGTCAATTCACAGTTAAGGAATAGACTGGGTGTGTTATTTTGGTCCACTGGAGGCAATTTGTCCATTTTATAGGTTCTGTCGTTTTCATTCATCCCCATCCCATGAATGAAAATAAACTGCTGCGCATGCGGATTATGTCTTACTCCGTTTGGACTTTAACGCTTTTCATTGTGGGAAAGAAGCAAGCCCCAATGTTTGTAATGCAGAACAAAAAGCTTTGCGCATCACTTTCTTATAAAAACAAATGTAGCTTTACTGAAACACATTCATATCCCAACCACATGCGACAGCGTCCGACTGCTATAACAAATGCCCCTCGCAGATTCAGCGAAAAACCTCCAGAGGGGAGTTTAGAAATCCAGCTACATCAAATTAATTATGTGACACAAGGGACACGATTCCCATAATGTATTGCACATATATTTCTGAATTATGTTTCAGTTTTCAGCCTTTTTTTGTTTGTATATATTTTATGAGCCACGAAAACAATTACACCTATTATGTTTTAACGTACTAAATTTAAAACCCACCCCCCTAAATAGTATGTGAAATGGTTCAGCCCGTGAGGTTACCGGAAGTTGTTTCAGCTGCCATGTTTGGTTGCTTTGTTGTAGGCTTCTACAAGGTTTCCTACAGAATTAGTAAGTGTGGAAATGGAGCCGAGCTGGAGTACGTTTCTTTTTCAAGTAAGTTGACTCATTAGGAGGGAAACCGGGATATTTCGTAAAACAACCTTTAAATAGGTTAGCACTGGATTTATTAACGGTAAAACCAGTTTTTAAACGAGTATCGCCAAGATCAAGTAACCAAGCAAAACAATGGTATATGAATCCAGGAGTCCAGCTGTGAGGCTTGGGAATGACGCTAGAACAAAAAATCAATTCTCCTCAACGTGCGTTTGAAAAATATGGCTTGTTTTCTATTGTACGAACACTTATGTTACTGATGTTTAATAACTCGACAGCGTTGGGGTTTTTTCAAGTTTGTTTGCCGAGTCGAGGCCAGCAAAACATGCGGGATAATTTGAAGTAAGGCTGGAGACTGCACCGTTACAATCGAGACAGACCTGTTTTTTTCCCTGTGACTGAGGGCTTTGATCGGACGCCTTCGGATAATGAGATGGCGATTATTTTCATTGTGGCATGGATAATACGACAGATTATTCACATTTAAAGTGGTAGCTGTTTGTAAACGGTGGATAAGTGTATACGTAGGTTATATGCTGCTGAGATTTACGAACCACGATTCGCAAGTCCGCGGTGAACTTTCCGCCTGCCTCAGCCGGTTCGACAGTAACTAGCCAAGTTAGCTAACGGTGTTTAGGCTGCCTTCATCAAACTCACTGGCTAATTTAGCTTAATTTGGGCGAGGCTGTCGCAATGGGTTTACAAAACTAATGTTAAGCGGCTCGATAAGCAGCCCTATGCAGCTCTCTGTTTACCAAAAATATATTTATTCGGGAAGACCGTGGTGGAAAGGAATTCAAAGTATGCACACAACATCAGCTAACACTAGCAACGAAGAAGCAGATTTGAAATTAGCAGCGGCATTACGCAATGTATAAATCCCTTTCAGCCAGAAAGTGAGGGCTGCTGTTGAGATTGATATCTGCCACCGTTTAGTGGTTCTCACTAAGATAAAAGCCTTTGTTCAATAACATGAATGAAATGTTTATTTACCATGGCCTGTCTAAGCCTAAAATAATTAAGGCTAGTGTGGACGTGAACACCCAGTTTTTTTTTAAAGGGGATGGGGATTAAATGTTTTGCCGCGTTTTTTTAATTGGAATGCCTTTTTTTTAACGTGATATGTGTGCCTATTATAAGTATATGACCATTCTGTGGTCTCTGGTCGATTTCCAAGTCTTACGAGGGATTTGTTGATGTATTCCCTGTGCAGTTATGCCCCTGTGTTTTTTAAGTGGGAGTGATAAACTCATGGGAACAGTGAACTTTAACAGTTTAGTGTCATTCACACAAAAAAACCTTCTTAATCTATCTAATGTACATTCTCCACAGACTTGATGGCTGTTAAGTTAATTATCATTATTAGCTTCATGAGATATCACACGTTATTGTTGGTAGTACTGTTGTGTTTGAGTAATTTGCCAATGCAAGCCATACATGTGTATTTAATACATTGTATAGGAATCTGTTTAACCTACAAAGAAACATGTTTACTGTATAACGCTTTACATTCACTGTACAGATAGGCAAATCAATCATTAGGTTAATCAAACTGATGCTGATAGGGTTCCCTGATCGGATATGGAATAGAGGAGGCATATGCAAGTCAAATAACTACAGGGCTCATGTGTGTCATCAGGAAACAGAGAGTCTGGAGGAGGTAGAATTACCAGATGCAAGCTTGAAAATCATAAATATGTTAAATGTTAAGATGCATCTTAACGGTTTAGGTAAGGCCCCTGCTGCACAAAGTTAAGTTAATATTACTTATGTTGTGTTTTTACCTACATCCCTGCTAAGTATTTGTCAAAAAAGTATGAGTATTGTACTGACTGCTTTTTTATAGTTGTAATTAGTTTATTTTCAGTTGTTGTATACATCAACCTTTTGTGGTGTTAGTAGCATTTAGCTCTGCTGTCAGACTGATCACTTACTTACATCTATGAGAACATTTCTTCCTGGTGAAAAAGGCAGATGGGCAGTGTGGCTTGTTTTGGAGGATCTGGCATCCAGCCAGAAACTTTGCATTTATTATGTACTGCACACTGTTACTCTATGAAGCTCATGTAAATATGTGTGCAGTATTCATTCTGTCGCTTGACGTAAGAAGGGAAATATTTCATTCAGCTTCCATCCCTTGGCACATGCTTTGCAGAGCTGTTAGCTTAGAAGTACTACAATATATTACTTTTAGTAGAAAGGTATGTATAAATGAAAAGATAGTAAACCTATTCTTATTTTAATACATTCGTGCATTTTAAATGTTCCATATTGTTGTGTAAATGAGCCTGACTAATACCATAAGTACAGCTGCCGCTCTTATTTTTTGAATGATATGCAGTATGTTTAAATATAAGGAATGGTTTGGCTACAGTTCATGTTGTTCAGACCACTTGAGATCTGGATGTGTATAGTCATATTACAATCCTTCAGTGCCTTAGGCTCCATACTGACTGCGTTAGAAACGGCAATAGCTGCAACAAAACAAGGGGAAAAACTGAATATATGCCTTCATTCCAGAGGCATTTGGATGACAACTTCCCAAATGTCTAATAAGAACTTGATGTTCAACAGGTGGACACACTATGCTGCACATGTTAAACTAGTAGAATTTCCCTTACAAGACACTACAAGACAAGTAAACATTGTTTAAAAATAGCTGATGGTGATTGACTTTGCTTTGATTTGTGGGTATAGCTCCGTTACTTAATAGTATACTCTAAACAACTGGCTAAAAATACTGAACATTGCATTTTTTTCATTGGGCACAGAAAACACAAGGTCCTACTGAAACAACCACAATTGCATTATTACTTTTTATTCATGCCGTAGCTTAGGTAAACATAGGAATTCAAGGTCAATATTTTAGCTCTGGTTTGTTCTCCACCACGGCCCCTGATATATCGTCTGGGTTTTTAAGCTTGCAAGACTTTGTTTACCACTATCTCTTTCAGTTGCCATATGGTGCCTAATAGGGAGCTTACTGTGGAGCTTGTTTTTGCTTGAAGCAGGCCTGTTATGTTAAACAGAGCCTTTTAAACTACACAAAGTATTTTTAATCATTATTTACGTCAGATATATAAATGAAATGATTTAGTCAACAATAGAGATTTAAGTCCTAGTTAAGGCTTTAACAGTGGAATGTTGGTGATTTATACTGCAAAGATTCAACTTATGAGTGGCTTTACATCTATGTTACAAAGATAACTCACCATTATGTTTTCTCAAAAACACTGAGAAACATGCAAATACTGCATAAAAAGTATTGCTTTGTTTTTGGACGTTACTGGCTTTGTTTTTACCACTTGTAGCATAACCTAAATACCTGTAATTACAACATCAGCATTCAAGGTACAGCATCCCAGCAGCATTCTTATAGCTTTAAAGGCTGTGAAAACCCCACAAACATTGATAACAAAAGTACAGTTTTGGAAGAGCTAGTGTCAACTCAGCAAACTAGCTAGCAAACAATGTTTTTGAAACTTGTATACAAGTGAAAAACAAATTTGCAAAGTTGAAGAGAAGGCTCTACCTATACCAGAATATATTTTTTTATTTTGTTTCCTACAAAATTTGTTTAGCTCCCCTCCTCCCTTCCATATCAATTAGGGTTTTTTTTTGTGTAAAAATTGGGATTTCTGCAAGCAGCTGCAACACAAAAGATTGAAGAAAGACAAGTGGTTAATCCGACTCAGACCATGAGCTCAATTCAAGTCTACAGTGGCCCGTGGAGCCATCAGGACACTCCCTCCATTTTGATGTTATTTATGAGGGAGCAGCCCCAGTTGTCAGAGCGCATTTGTGTCAAAATGGTCAGAGCTGCATGAAGGCACAGCAGCTTACAGGCCCTGCACCTCTGTATAGAGGCAGGCTGTCTGCTGTGGCTGTGTCTGCACTTCACAAAGAGGGTTCCCCGGCTGGTATCCCCCACCCAAACATAGAGCCCCCACCCCCGGTGTGCCAGCGCACGGGCTGGCATTGGCATCATGGTGACGGCTAATCCTGGAAGGTGGCAAGTGTGAGCAGGTGCTCAGACAAACGGATGGGTGGGCTTGGTGGCATTCTCCACCAGTTCCCAGGTCCCATTGCTTACGAGGGAATGACGGTGAGCTTGGTCCAGTAGTGTGTGTGTGTGGATAAACAATGTCCCCGTCTCATGAATAGATGAGCCAAATCAATGAAGATGAGCATACAAAGATCCCCCGCTGAGGCATCACTGCTCAGATTTGTGTCTCTCACAATAGGCTGGATGACATAAGGAGGACACTGTGTGGTTCATTTTTCTTTTCTGTCCCATGCCTTCCCTTTTGCAACTCCTTTTTCTTGGCTGGCCTTCTGAGATGGATGAATGAACCTCAAAGGGAAAGGTCAAGCATTTCACCTTGCCCTTTTCTTGCTGGTGTTCCACAACACAGTCGTCTTGACGTGTCCGTTTACCAAAAGCAACAGCATAAACGGTGATAGATTATTTATGTTTTGATATGGGAAAAGTGCTTTCTTAGCAAGTTACTATACCATTTTTGTAAGGACCTTTTAAGTGATATGGATAAATAGAAATGTTAAATTACCATAAACCTCCATTCCTGTTGATTATGTTTGCCTTCGATGGATGTTGTAAGGGCAGTCCCTAGATAAACAAGAATCTAAGGCATTTCTTAAGGGGGGGTAACTAGGGGTGTCCATATACCAGTATTAACAGTATGTATTTAATTAAATAACAATCATCAGCCTCTCTTAAATCATGCTTTTGTACTGTTCTTCCCTGTACAGTCAAATTTGAAGTCTATGAATACTCTTAATATACATTTAGTAACAGCGGAAATATCATTATCTGTTATCGTGCATGCGTGCCCGAATTTAGATTTTCTCAAACCTTGTTAGAGCATGACTAACTTAAGCTGACAAACTCCAAGAAAAGCGTCTGTGCCACTGTGATCCACGCTGTTCTGTCTGGTTTAGTGACCTGTATTTGTCTGTAGTGTCAGTGTGAGTGTGTGTGTGTGCACTTCCCTCCTTTACTTCACCATGCCCTCTAACTGAGCTCCTTTGCTGAGCTGATGGCCAGCACTGGACTCGGCTTTGCCTCTTATTTTGGTATGCTTGCTTTGCAGTCACATGACGAATCAGCACTGTCATGATGGGATCATTTTTCATCCTGCATATTTCGATCCCAATGCACTATGAGGCATCACTTCATTAACGCCAGATCCAGTGCCCATTTTGCATTTTTATAACATGTTACTAAGCCTTCAGACCAACCTCCATTGATGGTACTGTCCTGTCCGTAACACTTGTTGTATATTTGGTCATTCTTATGCAGGCTTGGAATTTAGAGTTTATTGACTGAGTGGGAAAGGCCAATAATAGAAGAGCTAAAACACTCTGCCAGATTCAGAAAAAATTACATAACTTTACTGTAATGCAGCCTTTTAAAACAGTAAAAGACAACATTTGGGATATGACAATATTCTAAATCTAAGACATTATCTTGTCTCGAATCACAATATCTATATAGTGATATATTGCCCAGCCCTACCTTCAGTTTTATTTGCTTTCATGTAAAATGCTAGTTTTAATTCAAGACAAAACCAAATATTCATCTCTGTGTGTCTGTTTGTTTCATCAGCAGGCCAATGAAGCCCTCCACCACCAGCATCATGTGGCCCAGAACAGCCTGCTGCCACTTCTCAATGCAGGAGTCGAACAAATTGACCAGAAGCCTATCCTGCCCATCCACATAGAACAGAAGCCCCCGACCAGCGCTGCAGAACTCCTTAAAGACAATGTGGCCAGCGGAGGAGGCGGGCGGCCACAAGTTCCCGTCATTAAGAAGGAACACAAAGGCAAGACGCCGTTCGTCTGTGGCTACTGCAACAAGGCCTTCCGCGACAGCTACCACCTGCGGCGCCATGAGTCCAGCCACACTGGCATCAAGATGGTGTCGCGGCCAAAGAAGACCGCCAACCAGTCAGCCCCAACCATGGTACCCATGATCTCCACCATGTCACGAGACCACAACGGCCACCCCTCCTACATCTCCACGGTGGCGGGAATCCTCTCCACGGCGACCACCTCGGTTTCCTCGGGCGCGAGCATCATGACGTCGTCGGCAATGGGCAACATGCAGCAGCAAAACACCCCCAAGAAACCCGCCAAACCGGTCAAGAAGAACCACGGGTGTGAGATGTGCGGCAAGGCCTTTCGCGATGTCTACCACCTGAACCGCCACAAGCTGTCCCACTCGGACGAGAAGCCTTTCGAGTGCCCCATCTGCCAGCAACGCTTTAAGAGGAAGGACCGCATGACCTACCACGTTCGCTCTCATGACGGGGGGGTCCACAAGCCTTACGTTTGTTCAGTGTGTGGGAAAGGCTTTTCCAGGTAAGAGCATCATTTGATTAAACTTAACCACGGCTGATAAGATTCATTCATGTCAACAGTGCTCTATGATGAGTGAAGAAGATATATAGTTTGCGATTAGTAACACCTGCAACCTTAAAAACAACGTTTTTGACAACATGAAGGTCAGGGTTTCTGGATCTTTCAAAAGGCATTACATTCCTAAACCTTAATAAACACCTTAATTAGTTTTAAAATGTCTTAAATAATGTTGGTGCAGTTTTCTTACGATGAACATACAGTTAGAAATTCTATTTGGCATGGAAAAAGTAACATAAGTTTTGCGTATGCTTTAAAATAGAATACTTAATGTACATCTCTGATGTGAATACATTTGTCTTCATGCTCACAAACAGACTGGCCGACCCTGAGCGAGGGACGGCTGTAAAGTGCTTGCAACAGATTTCATGGGGAGATACCATGACCCGTTTCAAATGTCTTTGTACATTCCTCGTACAGCTCCTGAGGTCCTGGGATAAGCTCTTATGTCGCCTCATAGACCAGAAGTGTAATATTCAAAAAGAAACATGGCACAGTTTGTTCATAAACAATAATCTGAAATGGACTTCAAGTGTATTAAACGTACACTGATATGTCGTTGAATAGTTATACAACTATTTCGTTTTGAGTTGTTTTCATGGCTTGTTTCACATAGTGATATAATAGGCAACCTTACTGAGTCAAATGAGCACCCCACAAATGTGGAGCATGGACTAAAGCAACAGTTTTAACTTTTTTAGCTATAGTCCAAATGATTCAGTAAACATGCTTCTTAAGACAGGCTCATTGCAGCCTTGGACTTCCATACACAGGAAGTGGATGTGTCTAAAATGTGCAATCTAGGCCTTTAAATATGTGACTGCGCGACATTCCCTTCCAGTGAAACTCTTCTGTATGTGTATCTGAGTAAGTGTTTGGTAAGCAATAGGTTTAGCAGGAAAGAGGACAATGCACTGTGACGATAGCACAATATCAATTGGTGAAAAAATGGGGGCAAATGCAAAAAAGAAGATAAAAGTCATATGCTTTCAATCAACAAGTAACAAGACAATCGTAAACAGGATGTATGCTTCTTATATTTAATGTATTCCTATGTTAGTGGGTGAGAATAATTTCACACTCTGATGGTTGGATTCCAGGGTCATGTAGAAAAAGCTTGACTTGTCTTCATAGAAAACATAACATGATGATAAAGAAATTCAAAAGAAGATGCATTTTATTCATTATGTCAGTCAAAAATAAAGCTTTTGCTCTGTTAAGTAAGAAGAAAATGCTTGCTACACTGAATCCCAACATTCGCTTTGCACATATTTATTAAGCACAGGCAATACTAAGAGATGTAGGGGCACCTTTCTTTATTTTTACTTTACCAAAAGTTCATTAAAAGCAACCATATTGCTTTTAACAACCTATGACTTGTTTGCGAGCGATTCAGCCAGCTCTGTTTGGATAAGTCAGCCGCACCAGGATTATATATAGAGGGAGGATTGTATGGTCCATATAGTGTGTGCATGTAGCCTTCCACAGTGGCTGTGTGTTTTTCTTTTCATATTTATTAATGTGCTACGCAGTTTAAATTTGTACTTGTATTGACCCCCACACCATTTCAACCACATGGTCAAACAGTCGCACATGGGAGAGCACCAGTGGTAGGTTATCAAGGGTGGGGGCGGGGGGAGGGGGCGTCACTTGTCACTTTGCGGTTCCCGCCAGCATGTCACAGACTCTCTTTCCCCTGGGAATGCAGTGATCCGTGCGCTAACGCTCAGGTCAACACATTTAGTATGTAGGGAATAAATATTTTGGGTCTTGCGGTGGCTTTAATTTGAAATGTATAGACACACATTCACTGTCTTTTTAAAGAGCCAAAATATCAGAAGAGTTCTTGACAAAAACATCAGCAGTGCACCCTAGCCAAGCTGTAACATTAGCACCATGCTGTGTAGGGCAGTTTCAGGCAGGCCTCCAACACTGTGACGTGGGGTAAGGGATTCATCAGCATACTGGAAAGTGAGAATAGGGACTGAAAACAGGCCACTGAGTCACTGCCATTCAGCCACATACGTACGCAGTCACTGTCTGAGCTTATTGTCAAAGGGGCACAAAAAAAAGAAGTAGGGGGCAAAACAGATTCCAGTTCATGGCACTACTGGGAAGATTCCACTTGACCCCTCTCATTGAGTAAAGAAAAAATTAAATCCAGCAGCGTGAAACTTTCCGGTTTGGAAGCAGCTGCCAATGCTGGAGCCGTGCTTACTCACTCCATTATGGCACTTCCTACATGATTCAGCTTCAGTAGAACTAACAGGCTGACAGGAGGATCAGTGCCAAGAAATAATTTGTTTCACTGTAAAGGTCAAGAGGCAAAGCTTTTGCTCGCAACTGCTGAGTAGGCGCGGCACAATATACTGACATTTTATCAAAATCACCATATGCACTAGCCAATATATTTATCCAAATCGTGCAGCCCTAGCACTGATCATTAAATAATACAACTGAGGAATGTGTTTTATTTTTTGAGTTTATTTATTTGAATAAAGCCGTATCTTTGCATACCACTGTTTTTTTTTTTTAAAGTTATGAATATATATTTGAAAAATACCGTCTGTAGCAAAACATTGCATCACCTGTTATAGTCATGGTGCTTTTACTGTCATTTTAATTTGTATCAGGTACATGGAACATGTTAATGGTTAAACTTGAGTCATAATGCAAAACTAAGTGTAAAGGCAAGTGGCTCAGTCAGTAGGGGCTTGGACTGTGAGCTGTAGGGGCGCCGGTTCAAGTCCCCGACCAGACCTAAAATATGGAGTGTGGACTGCTACTTGGAGAGGTCCCAGTTCACCTCCTGTCCTGCCGTGGTGCCCTTGAGCAAGGCACCGGACACCCCCCTTCCCCCCTCACTCCCATTGCTCCCCGGGCGCTGTACAATAGCTGCCCACTGCTCCTAGTACTAGACTCCTGGTGCTAGGATGGGTTAAAAGCAGAGAACACATTTCACTGTGTGCTGTGTGCTCTACATGTGTGACCATTACAGAGGGGTTTCATCCCTCCCAATTCTTCTATTCTAAAAGGCTAAAAAAGCTTGGCTGTTTTTTACATTCTAAAAGGTGATGGCCATGGTTTATCAGCCTAATTACTCACATTTGTATATGTTAACATGCATTTGAAACGTTCTCATAGTCGCTTTATAAATCCAATAATTCAATCCCTTCACTGCATTAACAAAGTTATACTAACTTTGTGACCTACATAGCCTCTTACAAATCCTCAGTGAGAAATATTGTGCGGTCAAGGGTTAAAGGAAACCACAAGCTAAATTCCTGGGATTTTTCTAAAACATTCTCTTCATATTTCTGTAAGAAACTCCAATGCTGCAAGAGAATTAACAGAAGTAGTGTAGCCTATTGCTAAACCGTTACTTTATCCAGGAAAACAAGTGGACAAATGTGCCACCTCTATGTGGTGCGCGTTTGAAACTAGGTCAAACTAATTCACGCACCATTGATCATGGAGAAGTAACTGCCATTGACTGACATTTTTGGGACTTCTTTTGCGCCCATCACCTCATTATGGAAGCAAACGGAGCACATCCATATGTTTCCACACTTCTGCACCCTCCATTTAAAGATTACATTAGGCTTTGTGCTCTAACATGTGGTGTCTCTTGTCAATAAGCCTAGATAATACACACTTGTGTATGTTTGTATCTGTGGTCAAATCACAAGTAAAGTAGATGTAACCCCAAAACATTTGTCTATATATAGTCAACATTAAAGAGGCCCTATGCTCATTTTCAGGTTCAGGTTTGTATGTAGTGTCTCTCCTGTGACATGTCTCCACGCTTTAATGTTCCAAAAGCTCTTTATTTTTCTCATACTGCCTGTGCTGCAGCACCTCTTTTCACCCTCTGTCTGAAACCAGAGCCCAGTCTGCTCTGATTGTTAGCTGGCAGACTCTGCTGTGATTGGTCAACCGCTTAGAAATGTCTCGCCCCTTAGCCTATCATGTACTAGGTGTTGGAGCGCAAGTGTTACATAGTGATGTCACTATTTTAAGGCAGTATGAGAAAACAAATCACTTTGAACATTAAAGCATGTAAACATGTCACTGTAGAAGCACATACAAATATGAACCTGAAAATGAGCAGAATAGGGCCCCTTTAATCAGTTTTTCTAGTAGCGGCAACAACTTGTGTCAACTTAAAGTTCTGTGCTACAAAGATGGTGTGGAATCAAAACACCATGCTCTGTTACTCATCTGAACGTCATGGAGCTCACGGCATCAGTCCGAAGATTGAATGTGTTGTGTTGTTTTGTTCTCCCAATCTAGGCCAGACCACTTGAGCTGCCATGTGAAGCATGTGCATTCCTCAGAAAGACCGTTCAAATGTCAAGTAACGGTAAGAGTCTTCACTGTGCACTTCCAGATTACCATCATTATAATTCATTTTGTTGCTGTTCTCCTCTGACCTTTGACCCTGTGTTGTGTGCGTGTGCAGGCCTGTACCTCTGCTTTTGCCACCAAAGACAGACTGCGCTCCCACATGATCAGACATGAGGGCAAGGTGACCTGCAGCATCTGTGGGAAGATGCTGAGTGCAGCGTACATCACCAGCCATCTGAAGACTCACGGACAGACCAACTTCAACTCCTGTAACAAAGGTACGACACACACCTCTAACATCACAAATGGAAGGTCTGCAGCAGATAACAGAGGATTTCTACAAATCTTTAGTCATTGCATTACATTGTATTTGGCTGACGCTTTTATGAAAAGCCTCTTACATACACTTAAAAAACTAAATTCTGTAAGTCTAGGTTTTTACAGCCCTCTCCAACACTGTTGAGATATTGGCAGTGTGGCAGAAATCTTTTTAAAAGGAAAGGAATATTCCCTATGTGTCTCTAGTTATATTGACCACAATTATTCACATCCAATGTCTTGTTATTATGGCATTGGTTACACAGAAATGTGCTTAAAATATTGGCAGGTATAAAATGATTGGCTAAGGTACATGTCCAAACAAGCTGAACCTGGATAAACACACACACTGGCCCGTCCATCAACATTTTCTCTCAGGGAAAGGTGGAAAGAATGTTAGTCATCAGTACATGTTCAATCCCATCACCCCGCCCTAATCCTGGTTGTTAAAAGTATAACGTTTCGGTACTGTTAAAATGTTACGCAACATTAGATTGGGATTACACAGAGGGTTTGGCCCATTTAGCTCTGCTTTTATCTTAAAGGTCCCCTATTAGACTGTTTTTCATCAATATATTATAGGTCTCAGATATATACAAAACATGTCTCTGAAGTGTTTGGCTGAAAACACCAAACAGATCATTGCAGCATCCCATAATCCCCTCTGTTTCAGCCCTGTTTCAAACGTGCTGATTCTCTGTCTGTTACTTTAGATGAAAATAAGGAGCCCCTCCCCACGCCCCTCAGAGATATTTGATTAGAACACAATGGTGCTCTAGGAGGAGATTCAGGTGATAAGGTGGGGGGGGGGGGTTACCTTGGTTGGTGATAGGCTAATGCAGTGACCATCAACTGGCCACATCTGGCCCGCCAGACATTCTCATCCGGCCCGCACGGTGGGGGTGACTGTGGCGTTGGCGGAGTGGTTAGTGCGTTCGCCCCCCACTAATTTTTTTTTTATACAACGTCTCGTGAGTAATGTGCAGTACCGGAGTCCAACCGAGAGGCAGCAGCTGCGGGACAGTAGACTGCATAGCCTTCCCTGCCCTGAAGAAGAAGTGATTCTTCGTTAGCGTGAAGAGTTTGCTTAATGCGCTCCGCAGCAGTAGCCCCGCTGCGAGGCTCCGGCGACTTCACAGTACATGCACCCCCCCCCCAACAGAGTCCAACAGAGAGGCAGCAGCTGCGGGACAGTAGCCTGCGTACTACGTAGCCTTCCCTGCCCTGAAGAAGAAGTTATCCTTCGTTAGCGTGAAGAGTCTGCTAAGCGTTATGCGCTCCGCAGTACCTGAGCGTGCTCCACTAGCCCCCCCCCCTAACCCTAACTTCAAAATTCTGGGCTATATATAAGAATCACTGGCCCGCGAAAGTGTCTATTGGATAAATGTTGGCCCTTGGACAAATGTAGTTGGGGATCCCTGGGCTAATGGTTACACAAGCCAACCAATCGTTATGACATCATAAAGTGGCCATATCTGATCAGCTCATTTCACTCTGATCAGACAGGTTTTTATATAAATGGATCAGGACAAAAAGTGAGAGAATCTTTTTCCTGAAACTTTCAGAATCTCTTTACACAGAGGGGACACATGTTTATGCATAATAGACATGAAAAAGTGGATTTTTCATAATGGGTGACCTTTAAATGACTTTGAATAGTTAGTAGTTCAACGCTCTTTCTTGTGTTTCCCCAGAGGGTAACGGAGTCTGCAACTCTAACTCGGCTACACCCGTGACCATCTCTGCCCCCATCACCTCTTCGATGAACCGGGGCCACTCCAACCACCCAGTCACCATCGCGGCTCAAATGAACATAAGCACCAACACGGTGAACGTGATGTCTGCGATGGGCCTCCAGCACCCGGTCACCATCAGCGGGCCCGTCAACATCTCCTCCCTCAACATCCCCACATCGGGGGCAATGAATATCGCCCACCCGGTCGCCCTAACGACCGCCATGTCCATGAATATGGGTGGTCCGCTCAACATCGCCATGAGATCAATGGATAGCATGCCTTTTCTGTCCCAAGTCTTGCCTTCTTCCCCACCCTGGTAACGTGGAGGGTGTTGAACTGGGCCAGAAAGAAAGGGAAAATGAAGTTAAACAAGAGACTCCTGTCCTCCCCCCAACCCCTACACCCCTCCATTATGTTTACCCCCCCCCCCCCCCCCCCCCCCCCCTGAAGTGGACATTTACACGAGCTGTGCGGCCGGTAGGAGCTCCCCGAGTCACAGCTAGTGTTAAAGTGACTGACACCAGATGCAGAACACTCGAGTAGAAATCGCGTAGGATTTATCTTGAAATCAGGACAAGACTTTAGAGTAGTCAGTTAGAGTGATGAAACTGTGATTTGTATAACGGGAAACAAGAGGAGACCATTCCTCGAAGGACTCCGTAAGAAAAACACCCCTGTGCTTTTGTAAAAGGGAGATGAGAAACGGACTGAAGCAATAACTATGATTGCTGTTTTTGGTGGTTTTTGCAAGTTCTCTCCCAAAGCCTCTGGGTGTTACTTTGTATGTTTCTTTTTCTTTTTCTTATAGCCTGCTAATCACTATTTAATGTTATAGAAAATGAGTCTAGTAAAAGGGACAGCCGCTTCCATTTGCATGGAAGTATATTTTTTCACAGTGCTATAGCGTTTCCTTTTCTCCTCTGATAGTAGCTCTTGAGGTACAGTGACTAACTTGTACAGTTGACATAATAATGTATTTCCATGTCAGCATTTTTCATTTCTTGCTTTTGTCGATCAAGCTGACGTCTCAACGCGAGACCCTCTTGAAAATGAAATGTTTTGGGGGTGTTTTGCTAACGGTATGGAAACAAAAAGGTTTGTATTTTTTATTTAGCCTTTTTCGTTGTTTTCAGTTTTCCATGAAATCAGTATGGAATGAGTCTTGCACTGAAAGCATATCCTACACAGGTGGACAGCAGTATTATCAAAGATCAAATCGGAGTGTTTCGGTTAGCCAGCCTGCACTTGAGCGCCATCTAGTGGCTGAACGTGGAACAGCCTGGCCTTGTAGTGAAGCTTTTTCAGGCTCTTACTGTCGTCACAATGGTAACTTATTCGTTTTGTCTGACTCTTCTGTACACTGTTATTTTCTTTTAAACGATTAATGTTATCTCCCCAAGACAATACTAAGGACCCTTCACTCAGGAAACACACATAAAAATCCCATTTCACATGGACTTGGTTCCTTTTTAAATTGACTAAATCTGTCCCTTTTTTAGATTCCCCATATCATTTAGCATTGTCCCGTTGTTAGACTTTACTACAGTCGGGGACAAACAGTCTAAGAATCATTGATTTCAACAAAGCCGTCCATTTAAGTAATAATTCACTGTGCAATGGCATACATGCTGTACTTTTTTTTCCTTTTACATTTTAAAGGCAAGTTCAGCCTCTGTCTGAGATCTGAATGATAAAAATGTGTCCGAAAAAAAGAACAGGACAGGATTGATGTTGCATGACCCCCAAACACTAGCTGTTGAACATTTTACTGAATGCCATGTTGCAGCTCTGTGTAAATGCAATACGCATGTTTGTCACCCCCCCCACCCCCCCTCCGAGTTTTGTTTAAAACAAAAATACTAGTGTAGTTTTTTTCTTTGTTCTTATGCATTTACGTAGATACACTATGATAGCCTGTTTGCCAAATTTGATACGATAATAATGTGATAAACTGAACATTTCTGGTGGAATGGATGTCTTTATTTTTTAGGAAAAGAAAAATAATTGAAATTCCAGGACCCTTGTGAAAGCAGTTGAATGTATATCTTTGTACAAAACTATTTTAGTTCCAAGGATATGGTAGTTACAGTAGATGTGAAAGATAAGATAACCTTTTTTTATAAATCTTTTGTATTAGAACATTAACAATGGTAATTTTGTATATATGAGAGGCTAGGCTTTCTGATTAGCAGAAAGGTCAAACATTCCTACATTTTTCTAAATGTATGTTTGTCAAATTATTACATAAACATGCGCAATGTTATGTGCCTTTTATTTGGGTTGTCTAAATAAAAGAAAACTATCAAATGTGTTTATACGTATTAAGTTCATTACTATTTAACACATTGACAGGGAATTTCCAGTGTTATGAATAGAAAGTTGTTCTTGTGTCATTGAACACAACACTTAATGGTGTGCAGACTCAGCTGGGAAAACTACGACATGTTTACTGCTCAACTTTTACATTTTATAAAACCTAATCCAGAAAACCTTTCTTTATTACAAACACCAACTCTAGGCTCAACTCTAGTTTTGTTCCTCTTTGAAGGTCCCTTATTATACTCTTTTTCAACAATATATGATATCTCTCCGATATATACAAAACATGTCTCTGAAGTGTTTGGTTCCAAAAAACACAATGGTGCTCCAGGAGGAGAGTAACACCTGCCGACCTCATCACCTATAGGGTGGGCGGGTGTTACTTGGTTGGTTAGTGGCTAATCGTTGCCCAACCCAAAATACATTTGCGATGTCACAAAGTGGCCAAATCTGCTCATTCTCAGACAGGTTTTGAAATGGGTGTTTCAGGCGAAAAGTATAGCTAATCTTTTTTCATGACAATTTCCAAATCCCTTAACACACTGGAGACACATATTTATGTATAAAAGACATGAAAAAGCGGATGTTGCATTACAGGTGTGCTTTTGAAACGGCAGTTTTTTCTCTTATTCACACATTCTGATATCCTAACATATCCTAACCATTTTTCAAAACACATTGCTAGATTTTAGTTTGAGTTGCCTTTCCACACAGCAACTGGCTTTCAATTATTTGACTTTATGATAAAAATCTACAGTCCTGTTTGACATAGAGTAAAATTAAACATTTAGTATAAATGAATTCAAATGAAAATGTCAAATGTTAAGGATAAATCAAACCTCTGGCGTGATTACATTAACAGATGCAGCTTATTCACCCAGTGTTCCCCCCCCCCTGAAATTCAAGGTGTTTTTTTTTATTAATATACATATATATAGCACCAAATTGCAACTGAAGTCATCTATCAACTGTCACTTTTCACATTGAACATGTGCTCTTTTATTAAATAAACTAAATGCTTTCATTTTCAGTTGTGAGTTTAGTGTTGTTGACCCTAAGAAACACTGATGCATTAATCAATAACAATAATCCACAGCTCCTCTCTCTGCTCCAGAGGATTACAAAATATATATATCCCAATTTTGAGGTACTTTACTTGAGTATTCAAAATGGTTGCTACTTTGTATTTCTACTCCACTACAATTCAGAGGTAAATCGTGTACTTTTACTCCACTACATTATTTTGATACCTTTAGCAGATTTTGTTTAATGATGTGAATTATAATCAGCACTTAAAATACTTTTGTTACATCTGGAGTAAACTTCACAAGCTACCCTGCAGTATACAAGTCATTAAAACACCCCTTTAATACATCAATATTTATATAAAAACATATCATTTATATTATCCTGAAAGGGGACGAAGATATAAGTACTTCTCCCACCTCCCCCCAGCACAAGAGAAGGTCTTATAGGTATGCATATTTACATTTTGAAGGTGATGCTTAATGTTGCAGTACAGATGTGTCCAGCAGGTGGAGTTGTCTATACACGTTTCACTAACCGATGCCCTTTATGTCCTCTACTTTTAAATCCAGCCTAGTCCCCCTTTAAGGAATAGTTTAGTGGTCTTCTCTGAGGACATAGTGATTTACATTATCCTATGATAGCAGCCAGAGTAAATAATATCTAATTAGGAAATGTATTTTGCCTGGACTGGATATTTTGTAGGAATACTCTGTTAAAAGTAAAAGTCCTGCATTCAAAATCGTACTCAAGTAAAATTAGAAAAGTAAAACTACTCATTCTACAGATTGGTCCATTTCAGAATGGAGTGCTTAGTTACTTCCCACCTCTGCATCGCTCTGCATACAGACATACAAAGAAACTCTGGAGATTAAAGGTAGGGTAGGTAAGAATGGAGAAACCAGCTCGAGTAAGCTATAATTTGAAAGTACTGCCCCTCCTTCCTTCAGACCTCCTTACAGAGCCCCTCCTCCAACACACACGAACGCGCACATGACCAATGAGGGCACGAGTTAAGTTTGTGCACGAGATGGAAGGCTGACAGGCAGGTAGGCCATCCAATTATCTGCCGCGGGCCGAGGCAGATAAATGGACTTGCTTTTTACAGCGCCACAGCTTCCACAGATGAAATATTTGTATATATTTATTGTCAAAGCATTTAATGTATTCATTGCTATCGGGATGTTGAGGCGGCAGTGGCTCAGTCTGTAGGGACTTAGTCTTGGAACCAAAGAGCCGCCGGTTCACGTCCCGATCGGACCAACAAAATAAAAAGATGGAGTGAGCTGGTAGCTGGAGAGGTGCCAGTTCACCTCCAAGGCCACTGCCGAGGTGCCCTTGAGCAAGGCACCTAACCTCGAAACTGCTCCCTTGGCGCCGGGTACCTGGCAGCCTCTCTGCTCTGCCACCTCTCCTATCTGCATATGGTTGTGTGTGTGCATGTATATCCTCTGTGTTTGTGTATATCCTCCCCTGTGTGTGTAATGTGTGTAAACACAACAGAGTGGGGAAAGAAATGTCCCTGTAAGGGATTAATAAAGTATATATTCTTCTTCTTCTTCTTCTTCTTCTTAAGAGCATTCCATGGAATATAACAAAAAGTGTTTCTGAAGTGAATTACCTACCCTACCTTTAATATCTGGTAGTGGACAATTTAAATAGTGTATGTGGTGAAACAATTAAGTTAAATGTGCAAATGCAATTGTGTCTCTTAGATTCCAACATAAAGTGTGAAAATGTTGCATCCTACTCTGTTTTATATCCAGCTGTAGGTATTGGACATAACCGACTATAGGGTGAACAAGAACCATTTTGTTTTGTGCTTTAAATCATGATCTAGTAGGATTAGACCACTAAAACTGCAGCATGGCTCATTCTGGTGAATAATTGAACCCCACCCTCTCTTCTGTTTTTTTTTTAAAACAGTAAAGGTCAGAAGAGTGCCCTGTCCCTTAAAGGATAAAAAAGAGGAAAACAAAACTCACTTGGCCGCTCTCTGTAGGGTGGAGGGTTCAGCTGAAGTTCACACTGCTATACTTCCTGTTTTCGCATTAATGTAATAAGATCAAAG